GATTGAGAAGACGCGGGGGGAATCGGGGAGTGGTCCGGGTCAAAATGCGGCTGCGCAGCGAATAGTGTGAAATTGACCAATGCAAGCAGAGGAAACAGAAGAGCGAGGGCAGCACAGCTGCTTGTGATTCCCCACTCCTCCTCCACTTGCAGCTGCTGGATGACCTTGGGCAAGCCATAGTTCTGATAAGAGCTGTTCTTGAAAAAAGAACCGTTTCTGTCAGAGCTCTCTCAGCCCCACCCACCTCACAGGGTGTCTGTTGTGGGGAGGGGAAGGGAAAGGAGCTAGTAAGCCGCTCCGAGACTCCGAGTGAAGGGTGGGGTATAAATCGAATCTCTTCTTCTTCTTCTTAAAGAACAGGTAGACTGCTCCTGGCCAGTGTTCCCTCTAAGCTGAGTTAGTGTGAGCTAGCTCACAGTCTTTTAGCCTCCGGCTCACACATTTTTGTCTTGGCTCAGGAAGGAGGGCTCCAGAACACACTAATTTATGCAGTAGTCAGATCGCTCACTCACAACTTTAATGCCAGTAGCTCACAAAGTAGAATTTTTGCTCACAGGACTCCGCAGCTTAGAGGAAACATTGCGTCCTGACCAGTCACTATCTGGCCTGTTGTTATCTCGGACCCTTTCCTGTCGCTCCTGGAGTACCATTGGCGGGATGTACTTTTGGCCGCAGTCCCCGCGCCACTGAGCATCTGGCAAAGGCCTCCCTCTGTCTGCCCTGCTGCCCTCACCAAGCCTCCAAGCAGGATGAACGAGCCACAAGGAAACTGGGCAGAGATGGGCTAGAGAGATCAAGCGAGGCCTGCCCTTTCCCCATTCCACGCCACCCCCCGTCTTCCGTCAACTCACCAGGGCTGGCGTCTGTGGGCGCTTCCCTTCCCTTGCCGCTCCATTCGCTCTCCGCCGAAGAAGCCACATCCTGTTGCACAAAGGAGATGGCGTCATTCATGGATGCCGGGATTTCTGTCCGTAGAAAGGCCAACGGGGAGAAAAGGATGCACCGAGATTAGCTTGCTCCCCACTCTGTGCCATGACAGCGTGCTTGGATGAAATGACATCACGGGATGAGAACGGCCAAAAAGAGGACCAAGAGCTGCCCCTCTTCCTATACCAGGATGATAATCCTACCCATCACCTGGCTAGTGATTCTCAAAAGGCGGGATCAGGACCCAGGAGTGGATCCTGACTTTCTTGCAGCTGGGTCACGGAGGAGAAGAAGAAGAAGAAGAGATTGGATTTATACCCCTTGCCCTTCACTACCCAAAGTTGTCTCGGAGGGGCTTACAAACTCCCTTCCCTCCCCACAACAGACACCCTGTGAGCAATATTCCCTCTAAGCTGTGGAGTCCTGTGAGCAAAAATTCTATTTTGTGAGCCACCAGCATTAAAGTTGTGAGCAGGCAGGTGATTTGGCTACTGCATAAATTAGTTTGCTCTGGACTGGAGCCATCGTTCCTGAGCTAAGACAACAATGTGTGAGCTGGAGGCTAAAACACTGTGAGCTAGCTCACACCAACTCAGCTTAGAGGGAACATTGCAGGGAGGTGGGGCCGAGAGAGCTCTTGACAGAAACTGCTCTTTTTTCAAGAACAGCTCTGATCAGAACTATGGCTTGCCCAAGGCCAGCCAGCCAGGTGCAAGTGGAGGAGGAGTGGGGAATCAAACCCGGTTCTCCCAGATTAGAGTCCACGCACTTAACCACGACACCAAACTGGGGAAGGCAGCAGGACGACGTGAGCTGGGAGAGGAGGAGACCCAGTCTCAAATGTGAGTTTCCCCTTGCAGATGGTGTGAAATGGCCAAGAAATACTGCTGATTGCTCATAAATGCCACACTGATCCAGGCTTCGGTAACCTCACAGCTGGACTACTGCAACACGCTCTACATGGGGCTACCCTTGAAGACAACCCAGAAACTACAACTGGTCCAGAATGAAGCAGCTCGAGTATTGTCAGGGGCTAGCCACCAGGAACATATGTTGCCTGTTTGGAAAAGGGCTACATTGACCGCTAATCTGTTTCCGGGTTCAACTCAAGGTGCTTATAACCTTTAAAGCCCTTCATGACCTGGGACCCACATACCTGAAAGATCGTCTTCCTTTCATACATCCCTGTGTGCCAAGTATGATCATCAGGCAGCAATCTGTTGGCTGCCCCAACACATAGGGTGGCCCATTTGCCACCAATCAGGGCCGAGGCCTTTTCCCTCATGGCTCCAGTTCTGTGGAAGGGGCTCCCTAAAGAGGTGACCCCCCCCCGGGAGATCTTTAGAAGACGCTGCAAGGCCTGTGCCTGGCCTCTTGAAAGGGTATAAACAGCAGGCATCTTTTGAGGGGGGGGGATGGGGTCTTGTTATTTTATCTTTCATAGAATCATAGAATGTTAGAGTTGGAAGGGACCTTGCAGGTCATCTAGTCCAACCCCCTGCACTCTGCAGGAGCATAGCCGAAAGATAGCCCTACATACCTACAACATACCCAAAAGATGGTCATCCAGTCTTCGCTTGAAAACATCCAGCGAAGGAGCATCCACCACCTCCCGAGGCAGTCTGTTCCACTGCTCAACCACTCTCACGGTTAGGAAGTTTCTCCTGATATTTAGCCAGTATCGACTCCCTTGTAATTTCCACCCATGAGATCTAGTCTTGCAATCCAGAGCAAGAGAGAATATATCTGCTCCATCTTCTACATGACAGCCCTTCAGATACTTGAAGACTGCAATCATGTCCCCTCTAAGCCTTCTCTTTCCCAGGCTAAACATACCCAACTCTTTCAGCCTTTCCTCATAAGACTGGGATTCCAACCCTCTCACCATCCTGGTCGCCCTCTTCTGGACATGCTCGAGCTTGTCAACATCCGTCCTAAAATGTGGTGCCCAAAACTGGACACGGGACTCCAGGTGAGGCCTGACCATAGCAGAATAGAGCGGAACCACCACCTCCCTTGATCTCGACACAATGCCTCTGTTAATGCATCTTAAGATTTCGTTTTATCTGGAGATGTTTTAAGTTACTATCGGAAGCCACCCCGAATCACAAGAAAAGGTGGGATATAAATACTTCAAGAAATATAAACATGAAAAATAAAATATAAACTTTTTCGTGTCAACTCACGTGAACATGAGCTTCCTGTGTTTTATACTGGGTTGGGAAAAAATGACATGGCGTACCTTTGCAAGGGGAGGGTGTAAAAAGGGCCCCCCCAAAAAGCAGAGTGCATTTAGAACCAGGCCCTGCTTCAAACGACTGGAAAACCAGTGGGCTGGGTAGATACCTGGAAGGACTACACCAGACTGATGGCAGCCTGTTTTACGGCATAAAACTCTCCAGTTCTGAGCCATGGAAATGCAAACTTCATGCCAAATGTCATGCTCAGTAAGAAGAGAAGAAGAGATTGGATTTATACCCCGCCCTTCACTCGGAGTCTCAGAGCGCCTTACAATCTCCTTTCCCTCCCCCTCCCCACAACAGACACCCTGTGAGGTCGGTGGGGCTGAGAGCGCTCTCTCAAGAACTGTTTATACTGGGTTCTTGAGAGAACAGCTCTGAGAGAACTTGTGACTGACCCAAGGCCACCCCATCAGCTGCATGTGTGTCAGGATCTGGAATGTGGAGGAGTGCCCTCCTCCTCATTCACAGCTCTTCCCTGTCCAGCTACTGTGCGCTATCTCCAGCTAAATTTACTCTGCTGGGAAAGTAACGGCTTTTCGCTGTGCCCGCTTGCTTGATATTGCCGCATGCGTGAACTATACCCATTGACTTCAGCTCATTAGGGGGGGATGTTTGATTTCACTATAAGTCAGAGGCCCTTATACTGTCGGCCATTCCTGACAAAAGCTGCATACGTGTTCTTTAGTACTGGAAACACTAATAAAGCAGTTATCTTCTTCTGAAGCCCTGTGTGGTGTGAACTGCCTAAGGACCCTGACAATGTGGAGGTACGGGGAATCAAACCCAGGTCTCCCAGATTAGAGTCTGCACTCCTAACCACTACACCAAACTGGCTCTCAGTAAAGACATGTTATGTAAATTCACACAGAGTTGTGCTCATTTGAGGCATCTATATATCTAATTCTCAAGTCGCCCCCTGATGTGCGGATGCTTAAATCCGCTCATCGGGGGGATCTGGGGGGGAGGGAGAGGTTTGTGCGCACATGGGGCGGTCTCCTCGTGTGCACAAAAATCCTAAATCTGCAAAAAAACATCGGGGGGATGTTTAAATCCCCCCGAAACTCACAGAGCGCCCCCTGCGCATGCGCAGGGAACGCTCTGC